CAGCAAATTGGTGGACCGTTGTCCGTGCAAGGAGAAAGAGTCTTGCATCTTCCGGCAGCTATCGGGGAAAGCAGAGGTACCACAGGGACGGGGCAATATTTGGCATACCCCATTGCCCAACTATGGCGGACCCAAGGATATGGAAGTAGCACCCCCTCCGTGCAGCGAACACCGAAAAGCATGAGCGTCCCAGAAGGAGTCTACTTGTGCAAAAAGTTTGCTGTAGCGAGATACGAAGGGAAGAACCGGCTGTTGTTGCTACTTTCGATCCCCGACTGGGGAAACGATTCCAGTCTACAGCTACAAGATACACAAACGATTCGGGCCGCCCGGTGGAATAGAACGCCCTACGGTTGATGCGGGGAACCGTTTCTGTGCATGCTCGGCAAAATCTGCTACTCGCCTATATCGGAAAAGAAAGACGATAGAGAAGTAGAATTGCTGCTTCCAGACCTTGGGCGAGAATAGGTTCTATGGGTCCTACACCACAGGGCTAGGGAGAGTAGGCCCTCCGGCAGCTCGCCTAGTATTTTTGCAGATGCAGTTGCGGGCTGGGGGTTGCAAAGGACGAATGGAGTCGTACACTTGTCTAGGCCCGTTTTCGTATTCCAACTGCTTTTCGTGGAATTCGTGGTACGGAAAGTATACCCTACTACAATACTTTTTTTCCCCCAAAACACACTCTACTCCATATGGAAGGGATCCCCACGTTTGGTCTTGGGTGTTTCTACCTTCTCTGTCGGTGTGTGGAGGGGGTGCACGAAGAAACTGGTTTGCTGTGCTTCCAGGTCTTGTAGACGACCTTCCAGAGAAAAACAGCGGCTAGCGAAAGGTAGGTCCACCTTTGGGCTGTTTCTAGCATCTGCCGCACCTTCTGGATATCCAGACGGGTCTCTTCTTGCTCCTCCTCGACGTTTTCTATTTCCTCTTCCTCGTCGTCCTTGTCCAGCATCGACAAGATGTCGACCAACAAATTCGTGGTTTGCTCCACACGAGCCGGCAACGCATTTGTGGTTTTGCTCCACACACCGACATCGCCGCTGCGCTGTTTGCTCCACACGAGCCTCTAGCCTCCCCAAGCGGTCATAGAAGTCCTGGGCGGGTGGAGCGCCAGTCGGCGGTTCTGCAGCAGGCAATACCTGCTGGGGGCAATAGGCTGCTGGTAGACGTTGCGCTAAGCGGCAGCAGAGCAATACGCCTGTGCTGGGGCCAACGTTTCCTCTCCAGTGGTGCCGCTAGATCGGTTCCGTGGCTGTGCTAGCGGGCAATACCATCAGCGCTGGTCGGAGGCTCTACAGCAGGCTCTGCGCCATATGTCGTAAGTCTTGTGGACCCAATACCGAAGCGCTTTTTGACCTCGCTTGCTGGGAGCACCCCTCGAAGGGAGCGTATTTCTTGGATCTTTTCCGAAGACAGATCTCTTCTTGGTGGCATGGTTGTTGTTTTTTCCTGGGAATATATATACCCATACTTCCTACTTGTCTATATGGGAATCCCAATCCTCTCCCAGGAATCCCAATCCTCTCCCAGGAATCCCAATCCTCCCCAGGAATCCCAATCCTCTCCCAGGAAACTCCTAGCAATGCTTAGCAAATGCTTAGCAAATACTTAGCAATGCTTAGCAATGCTTGGCAATGCTTAGCAAATACTTAGCAATGCTTAGCAATGCATAGCAAATGCTTGGTAAAACAACCAAACCTCTAGGTTCTGTCTAGTGTGCCCAGTTTGTCTAGTGTACCCAGTTTGTCTAGTGTGCCCTAGTTTCCCATATAGACAATATTTTGCGAATGTAGATATATTGCCCAACCAAATGCCTCCAAAAAGACAACTATTGCAAGCCCAAGTGGAGGAGATTCGCAAGCTGCGTGGAAAGGCCCCAGCACAAGAAACTAGACAACGATTCGGCATCGGTTCCAATCGACTACGCAAAATATGGAATACGGCCACGGAACCGTCTAGCGGCACCACTGGAGAGGAAGCGTTGGCCCCCAGCACAGACGCATTGCCTGCTGCCGCTAGCGCAACGTCTACCAGCAGCCTATTGCCCCCCAGCGAGAGCGTATTGCCTGCTGCAGAACCGCCGACTGCGCCTACCGTCCAGGACTTCTACGACCGCTTGGGGAGGCTAGAGGCTCGATGTGGAGCAAACAGCGGCGATGTCGAAACTCGTGTGGAGCAAACCACAAATAAGCGTTGCCGCTCGTGTGGAGCAAACCACGAATTTGTTGGTCGACATCTTGTCGATGCTGGACAAGGACGACGAGGAAGAGGAAATAGAAAACGTCGAGGAGGAGCAAGAAGAGACCCGTCTGGATATCCAGAAGGTGCGGCAGATGCTAGAAACAGCCCAAAGGTGGACCTACCTTTGGCTAGCCAGCTGTTTTTTTCTCTGGAAGGTCGTCTACAAGACCTGGAAGCACAGCAAACCAGTTTCCCCTTACCGTGCACCCTCCACACACCGACAGAGAAGGTAGAAACACCCAAGACCAAACGTGGGGATCCCTTCCATATGGAGTAGAGTGTGTTTTGGGGGAAAAAAAGTATTGTAGTAGGGTATACTTTCCGTACCACGAATTCCACGAAAAGCAGTTGGAATACGAAAACGGGCCTAGACAAGTGTACGACTCCATTCGTCCTTTGCAACCCCCAGCCCGCAACTGCATCTGCAAAAATACTAGGCGAGCTGCCGGAGGGCCTACTCTCCCTAGCCCTGTGGTGTAGGACCCATAGAACCTATTCTCGCCCAAGGTCTGGAAGCAGCAATTCTACTTCTCTATCGTCTTTCTTTTCCGATATAGGCGAGTAGCAGATTTTGCCGAGCATGCACAGAAACGGTTCCCGCACCAACCGTAGGCGTTCTATTCCACCGGCGGCCCGAATCGTTTGTCGTATCTTGTAGCTGTAGACTGGAATCGTTTCCCCAGTCGGGGGATCGAGTAGCAACAACAGCCGGTTCTTCCCTTAAGTATCTCGCTACAGCAAACTTTTTGCACAAGTAGACTCCTTCTGGGGCGTTCGCGGCTTTCGGTGTTCACTGCGGAGGGGTGCTACTTCCATATCCTTGGGTCGCCATAGTTGGGCAATGGGGTATGCCAAATATTGCCCCGTCCCTGTGGTACCTCTGCTTTCCCGATAGCTGCCGGAAGATGCAAGACTCTTTCTCCTTGCACGGACAACGGTCCACCAATTTGCTGGCGAGGAGTGCGTGTCGTATGCTCCAGAAAAAGCAGGCGTTGTCGTACAGGTTCTCTATATTCGCGAAACAGCTGTCGGCCACGATCTCTTCTGGAACCTCGAGTGGCAGTCGCTCCTGGGGTGTGTAGTCTATCGCTTTTTCCCAGAGAACGATTTCTTGCTGTCGACGCGGTGGTCGATGGCCCCGCGACTTGCATGTAGAGTAGTCGGGTCCGAAGAGAGCAGGCAGTTCGATAGAGTGGCAAGGCAGTCGGTGCATCGGTTGTGTCTGTCCTTGGGGCCCGGATAGCAGTCGTCGGTGAGAATGATTCGGAGTTTGCCCGCCGAGGGTCGAAATTGGTTGGGTGGGAAGATGTAGACGAAATCGACTATTTTGCCGGCTTCTACTAGTGGGCGAAAGCACAGCAAGTAGAGTTCGAGAAACTGGCGTGGGATCTCGTAGCGTTCGTAGAAGGTGTGTCCCGATTGCTCCAGGATTTGTTTCTCTCGGTCGGAAAGCAACATGGGGCGACACTTCTGCAGCAGGGCCTCGAAGTCTTCGGATATGTCAGGAGTTGTCGCTGTCTGGGGCTTGTCTATACCACCTCGGATTCGCGTGTATCGAGCTTGCGATATGTGGTACTTCCTCTTCGCTTCCCGAAGGGACAAACGACCCGATCGGATCTCGGTATAGGCTTCGCGCGAGAGCTTGGTTCCTGGCATATTTCTATATCCATGCACCCACATAGCTCTAACTGGGAGTGCACTGCATTGGGAGCAGCCGAAAAGTGGTCTTGTCGAAGGATTTGGGCAAACACTCATTTTTACTAGGCTGGTAGAAGAATTAACCCGTATGGAAGCTTCTGAGCAAGGTGTACCTATACCGGTTTTTCTTATCATTCCCCCTACTACTGATGAGTAATTGGTGAGATCCTGTCTACTGTCTAGCGGGATCTTGTATGAGATCAGTCCTGGGATGAATTATCAGTGAGATCAATTCTGAGGTGAATACTGGTTAGACTGCGGGGATAAATCATTGGCGAGATCAACGCCCAAGTAAAACAGTAAGATCATTTTGGGGATAAATCATTGGCGAGATCAACGCCCAAGTAAAACAGTAAGATCATTTTGGGGATAAATCATTGGCGAGATCAACGCCCAAGTAAAACAGTAAGATCATTTTGGGGATAAATCATTGGCGAGATAAACGCCCAAGTAAACAGATCACTGCGGGGATAAATCATTGGTAACATCAACGCCCAAGTAAAACAGTGAGATCATTTTGGGGATATCTTTGTGGTGAGAACAAAGCGCAGGTAAAACAAATCATTGTGGGGACCAATTATTGTTGAAATCAATGCCCAGGTAAAATCTTGTTGAGATCGTTACAGGGATGACTTCTCATTTCCTTACCCGGAAGAAACCGCATTTTTGGTAGCCCTACCAGTATATTTGTACTTACAGTTTACCTTACTGAAACATGTCAAGCGAGAATTCTATAGTCAAAAGAACATCCGCAGCACGTAAATACGATTATGATTATCATATACAATTGGTATATTATACACTATCAGTAAAATAGAACCATGTAGCTAGAAAATATCTCTTTTCTAATTATTTGGATGAGTGTGTGAGTGAGTGAGTGAGGAGGCATTAGCCACAGTTCATCAATAGCGGGGAAACGTGAAATGGAAGACACAGACAGCATCCATTTGGTGAATTGAACTCGGGTCTTTGGCGTAACGAGCGAAAACTTTAACCATTAGGACAGTCCACATCCCCTTTGTTTGTCCTATCATTAATGTGTAAACCTAATCTTTTTTCAGAATGCTACCCTTGCTATGGGTGCCATATCCATCACCTCCCAAAGAGAGACCGACATCGACTTCTCTCAAGGCATCATCAGTACCGGCATAAACATCCTCATATACAAACCCCAGGAAGAATACAACATCTTCCAGTTCCTCTTCCCCTTTTCTCTCTACCTCTGGCTGGCCATCATCGGGGCATCCATCTTTGTCTCCTTTGTCCTGTTCCTCCTTGACTACACGAACCCAGAACGGAAGTTCACTGCCAAAGAGACTCTATGGTATGCTGTAGGAACGCTTCTCAAGCGAGGAACAGACTTCTCTCCTAAGCCAGTATCTCAGCGTATCCTGTCTGCGGGTTTCACCTTCTTCGTCCTCATCACCGTCTCCAGTTACACCGCCAACATGGCAGCCTTCCTCACAACAAAAAGCCTGGAGAAAACCATCAGCTCCTTCGAAGACCTCACCGAGAGTGAGCAACCAATATGTACTGTGGACAAATCAGCGACCATGAAGTTCTTCGAGAAGGGACACAGCCTTACCTACAAGCGGATCTGGGACGTGATTGTAGCTGGGGATGGACTAGTTCCTAACGCGTCAGCTGGCCGGGAAAGAGTGATGGATAAAAAGTGTGCATTTATTTTTGACTTCTTGATAAACGAGTATTCTGAGTATAAAAAATGTTGTACGAAGGCTGTGGCTGTTCCTATCCTGATGCAGGAACATGGTATTGGCATGGCGCAAGGAGCTCCCTTCAAAACCAAGCTGAACATAGCTCTTCTCAATTTGAAGGAACGTGGACAGATCAACCAACTGAAAAAGAAGTAAGTATATGTCCTCATTTTAATTTTCCCCTCCTTACTTAGATACAGTTAGCCCAGTTGTTTAAGATGTAGCAATATACCCTCCAAGGAGAGTCACTTCCAAATGCATGTGTCCGGTGATCAAGACCTCGACTCTCAGTCCTGATGGTCAACGTCCAGGACATGTGTCCCTATGCCTTTACCCCACCGTAAGCCGATATACCCTTCTGAATTAGTGTTAAAAAACAAGTTAAACCTTACAATCAGTTTTTGTAGGTACGCAATTGTTTCGTTCTTCTGTAATTTCTATGCAACAATTGTGATTCTTGAATTGGTAAATATTAAGTTAACTGTGTCCTGTAGAAGTTTATTCTTTATAAATGTGGTTTTCACACCTTCACTTCCGAATTGCTTAAATACAGATGCACTCTCGAAAACAAATCACCTGATCAAAAAATAATGTAACTTGAAAAGAATGGATCGACGATTGTGTGCGACTTTTACCCACAGTAGGTCAATTGCCTTTGTATGTTGAATCAATAATCACATTAAACACCAGATATAGAATGTCCCTATTCTCCTAGATAAGGGGTGGTGGTAGTAGCCGTATGGTGAAAGCGTTCGATCGTCACGCAGTAGACCCGGGTTCGATTCCCCGAATGCGTACAATATCTGAAGATTCTTTGCATTCTGGGTGCACAGTTGGTGGTCCACGTGTCTGGCCTAACAGTATATGTCTCTTTTTGTTGAAAAGTTTCAACATTCCTGAATTGGTAACTGTGCCCATGTTTGTAAATTTCAACTTCAGGAACATGGGTGATGGGTAAATATACGTACTCTGTGTGTTCCAGGTGGTGGGACGACAAGCGGCAGTGCAACGTTGCCAGCGACCGCGCCAACCGTGCCCAGTTTGGACTCACTGAAACCGCAGGAGTGTTCATCCTTGCGCTTTTTGGACTCGTCTTCTCTGTGGCATTCTTCCTTTTCAAGAAATTCTATTTGAGACGAAAAATGAAGAAGCAGGCCCTGAAAGCCGAGAAGGAAAAGGAATTACTCTGCAAGGGGTCGCCATCATCCGTGTGACCTTCACCTTGACGCACACTGTTCTTGCTCTCACCAAAGACTGTCTTCATCCCAGTCATAACCCGCTTACGTTTGATTATATAAATTATAATTTTGAGTCATCTCTCCATCACATCGTCAAGCAACAACCGCCCTATTAGTAATTAAAATGCAAATGTTGCGTACCTTGTAGATATTGTGGTAAAGATCATTGTAAAATCTTTAAACTGCTCCAAAGTGGGGGTAGGTTGACCTCCAAACCAATTCTTGCTTCAGGAGAGATATTCGATGTCCTTTGGCTTGTCAAAAAATCCTTGTCTTGATTAGTACCTAACACGCAGAGGCTCACGGTGGTAAACTGTTACCCCAGGCCACTGACACTTCGTATTATCAATGGAATATTGTTCATATCGGAGCTAAACCCAACCCAAGAGAGACCATATGTAATCATGATGAAAACATTTCGTGTGTATACCTGTATGAAGCCTACATTTGTAAAAAAAACATATTTGTCTATGTTTTTCATAATTGCTATTTTAGTCTTTCTTTCAAAACAACTTTGTGAACATTTAAGAAAGAAATTCTTAGTTTTGTGTGTTCTGTTCAATTTGTATTACAATATACTGTAGCATTTTCCAGATATACGATATCCCAGTTTACGTGTGATACATATTCTTGATAAGATTGTCAAACTTCAGTATAAGTGGTTTAAATACAAATTCATAAATAAAAGCAAAATTTCTCTTTGTGTTATTAGTTGATCCTAGTTCAATTCAATTCAATTCAATTCATTTTATTCTCAAAAAGAACCACCCACGGTGGTACAGGAGAAAAGTTTTCCAAAAATAACAATAATTTGTACTTTACATGATGGCGGTTATGTTGTACAGATAATTGGCGACATTAAGATATTGTGACTGAAAACAATTATGAATACATAAATCTAGACGGATAAATATAAAATCCGCATCAGAAATTCTGTACTCATGTATACAATCACACTCGAAGGCACTTATCTATTATACAGATGAATTGTGCAAGGTTCTTGATTTCTTTTACTTTTCTACTACTCAACAATTTCTGTTCTTTATTATATAAGGGAACTGTATGTTGTTATCTGCATTCATAAAAAGCTTCAAATTATACAGGTAGTGGAATTCGTCAGCTATTGCTGGCGACATACACAGTTTACATGTCCTAAATTCTCTCTATGCCAAGCCAACGGCCAACCTAGACAGGCAGATTATGGTTACAAGTTCTGTATTTCAGGAGAGGGTAGTATATTTGTTTAGGCAGAAGGAGATAGTTATCAAATGAAGGAATGTCTTTTAAGTATTTATAATAAAGCCCTTTCGGGCTTCTCTCTACGTCAGATCTCAAGTTTTGATAGAACTGTTCTACTTTAGAGTCTGTTCTACTCGAGCCGTTAGCCATTGGCTTGAAACACTTAGTGGGTCATGAAATACATAGGATAGGCCACAGAGGTTAAGTATTTGCCTTACATTACTCGTCCAGACATTGTGTTCATTAATAGCTATAGATCGCAAATAAGCAAACTGATAGATAATTTGTGATAATTTCGAGGAAGGTCCAGGTTTACAGAGTTTATGCCAGAAACTAACTACCCGTGTGGCTGCATATATTGATAAGGGTACCCTACCTAATTCCCCATAGACCATAAACCTTGGGGTTGAATGTCCAAGCCCACAGGCTAGTTTCATGAATTTTAAATGAATGTTTTCAATTATGTTCATATTTTGGTAGGCCCAGATTTCGCAACCATATAATAATATCGGTGATATCATCACGTCAAAAGCTTTCAGTCAAACAGTCCTGAGGATCATTATAATTTCTGGGTTTCATTAATTGACAGAACATGGCTTTAGATACACTCTCTGATAAACATTTGATTGCTGACCTGAAGTTCCTGTTTCTACTGAATATAACACCTAGGTCAAGGTAGGTAGTCAAGGTAGACCAACAATTTTACCAATTTTACAAAATAACAATTTTAATGTTAAAAAATAAAAGAATTGTTAACATAGTTATCACTGATTGATATGCTTCATATAAACTCTGTCAAAAAAGAAACGCAACCCCTGTCCTCAGATATGAAAAATTCGTTTGATGAAGATTACCATCCAAACAACTGCATTTGTACGCATAAGTGTATTTTATTGCTTATTCCGTCACAACGCATGAAATAACCCTCATGGTGACTTCGCACAAAAACACATGCAAATCATGAAAATGGCGGTTAATGTAGGGTGTATAAAAGCCCATGTGCTTCCGTATTATATTCATTCATTTGTCGCCGAAAAGCTGTGTTAAAAATGCCACGATTGAGTGCTGCCGACCGAAATATCGCCATTGGTCGTGTTAAAGCCGGAGAAAGTTTTGGAACTGTTGCACGGCACCTAAATGTTCACAAAACAACGATATCCCGACTTTGGAGCCGCTACAACAACTTCAATTTGACCAACGATCGCCCGAGAAGTGGAAGGCCAAGAATCACGACCCCCCTTCAAGATCGGTACATCCGGGTCCATCACCTGCGTAATCGGCATGCCCTACCAACCGTGACTGCCACACAAATACCAGGTTTGAGGAGGTGTCAGCTCAAACGATTAGGAACCGTCTGAAAGAAGCGGGTTTACGTGCCTGTAGACCAGTTGTTGGACCTGTACTACGCCCCCTACATCGACGCCGACGACTCAGGTGGTGCAACAACGTAAGGATACGGACTTTACAAAACTGGAGGCGAATCTGGTTTTCTGATGACTCACGTTTTCTTTTGCAACGTCACGACGGAAGACAGCGTCTGTATAGGAGACGTCATAAACGTTTTGCGCCCATCTGCGTCCGACAGGTGGACAGATTTGGCGGAGAAAGCGTCATGGTTTGGGGAACCATCTCATACAACCAGAAATCAGACTTGGTGATCGTTCCAGGGAACCTGACAGCCCAACGTTACATCAACCACGTGTTAGAGCTTCACCTTCTCCCGATTATTGACCAACAGACACAGATTTTTTCAACGGGACAACGCCCGGCCTCATACTGCACGTGCAACAATGAACTTTCTGCAGAATTCCAACGTCAATGTCTTGCCATGACCCTCTAAATCACCAGACCTCAACCCTATTGAACACCTGTGGGATACTCTGGATCGACGCGTCCGTCAGCGTCAGCCGCCGCCACAGACGCTGCAACAGCTCGCCGTTGCACTGCAGGAGGAGTGGAGAGCCATTCCCCAGGAAAGAATCCACGGCGTCTTATCCGTTCTTGTCCAAGGAGATGCCGTGCAGTGATTGCAGCGCGTGGTGCTCATACGAGATACTGAGAAAGACGCCCCCCTGGTGACAAACTGGTGTCTGTGAGATGACTTTTGAAATGACAATTTTAAACATGCCCATCTTGGTTTATTATTCTGCCAAATTTCAGACTTCTGTCTTAAATAATAAAAATGCCGTGTCGTCCTAAAACTTCAGATCAAAATCTCTAAAATACAGGGGTTGCGTTTCTTTTTTGACAGAGTTTATATTATCATTTCCACAGACTAATTCGTTGATATAGACCAAACTTTATGGATAACAACTTCTTTTTATTCGTGAGTGCGACGTTTCGATAAAGATTCTTGTACCGTTGTCAAGCATAATGGTTGACACCGGTACAAGAATCTGTATCGGAAGCGTCGCACTCACGAATAAAAAGAAGTTGTTATCCATAAAGTTTGTTCTATATTGTACTTCCCAACTTCTAAAATGCCACTCAAAGAAGTTAATTTGTTGATCATTATCAATGCAAAATTACGTTTTTTCACACTGGTCTCTGTCTTGTGTTCACACTTATACACATACCACAAAACGCTCAATACTTGATATAAGGGTTGAGTAGCATTATGTTCTACAACTATCGGTTCTCTGAAAGACGCCAGATCCAATGGTAGGAGCGGTAGGGTAGCCTTGTTTTGTGAAAGTTTTAGCCCGTCACGCTGAAGGTACGCGTTCGTTTCTCAATACTGGAAAGATATCTGAAGTCCTTTTCTGGTACCACCTGCTAGGATATTATTGGATTATTTCTAAGATCGGCGTCAAACTATACTCACTCACTCTTGTGCTGGCGTAACAATGAGGACCTTCTTGTCAAAGCGTATCTTTATGTGTGTAATATGTCCTCTGATGTAGACAGGCTTGTACAGTTTGTTTCGGAACATCTGTGTTTTGCATATTATCTATTTGCGAGTGGCGTTTTACGTACGTTTGTAACTGAAATGATCCAAGAAGGTAGATTAGGGATTATATATATAGTCTGTGGTGAGTAGATCAGATGATCACTCATAAAATCACTAGGCGAGATAGCCCAGTGGTTCTTTAGTCAACCGAAGAGTCGTGTTCGACTCCCACCATGGGTACATTGTGTGACGTCAATTTCTGGTTTCCCATGATAATGTTACAGTATTGCTAAAACGGCACAAAATAATATTCACTCATATAAAAGTAGAAGCAGTATGTTGATCAACCTTTACAAATAATTTAATCCATTAAACTAAAAAATGAATATTTTATCAACAATGCACCAGCGCAGAACGACAGAGTTTGTTTGCAACTAAGGCCTTGTAATATATGAAGGTTAAATCGGCGTTGGCTTAATATTTGATCGCCGTTGTTTGGTTGCAGTGATATTGGGTTTGAGTATTGCGTTTTATTAAAGGGAAGCAACTCCTCCCAGCATGTATCCAAAACGTTTAGAGTGCGGTGGTTTAGCGTAGTAGCCAGAGCGTTCTCTTCGTGCCTTAGTTCGAGTCGAAACATGAGTACCCCGCGTGACAACTGTGATATTGTTAGAATATTCCGGAAAACGACATAGAACTATGGGAACACAAATTCTTCCAGGAGCCAGTACAATGTTACATGTTGCAGCGTGTGATGCATTCCATTTCTTGTTAGTAAGCATATATCGACCGGAATGTAGAAAGTATGCTTTCCGATCTGTCTTTGATATGAATCGCCTGTGCTGACTGCGATACCATATTTGCCTTGACTAAGATTATTTGCGTGGTAGCGTTCTCGTTAATGCTATATCAAGCATAGGTGGTTCACTGCTCTTAGGTACTGAGCTGTACAGTATTGCATGTTTAAACTGTAGAACAGTTAATTTTGAGTTCTAATCCTAGATTCTAGATGCTTAAGTAAAAAAACGAGCCCACCGTAGCGCTTTTCACTGAAAGATTCTTTTAAGTTTTTCTTTCACATGAAACTGAGTGGCATAATGCAGTTCAAAGCTGCATTATTACCATACTCCCTCACTCCTAATGCTCGTACTTTTAACCACCAGTTTATGTCACAATAAAGACTACCAATGCACTTACTCATTTAATAACGAAGTTATATGTAATAGTTTATATATAAAACGGATGTTACTGTCACCCATCTCCATTGAACGATTCCGACTATATCATATGTCGGACTCTCCACTAAGTCCGACCTGGAACGAATACCCACTGCCGATGTATTGACATTCACATTGAATGTTGAATAAAATATACGTTATAGCCATCAAATGTTTCTCGGATTAACCGAAGATTCGAGTTACAAGACGTGATAGATACTGGTTGTGTTGACGACGAGATCACTTCTCGTTAACTGTATGTATGTACTTACTATAAATGTCATATGGTTTTGAGAATTTGTGTCAATGTGTTACTGTGATTCAATTACTCAGCGTCAGTATTAAGTGGTCATGTAG